AAAACTGACAGGTTTGCTAGCCCACTTCTAATCCTGTCACATCTGTAACCACCACCTCCACTCCATGGATTCCCTTCCTACATCTCCATCCAGAGTATTAGTAGTAGTAATAATGTTACTAGACACAAATAAGTGTTTATTATGCATGACACTGTATACAGCACCACAGTTTCTTCCCCGCAGTTCCATTCAAATAAATGTTCATTATGTGAAATCTAGACCTTTAAAAAGTGGCATGAATGCAAAAGGGACTGGAATGGTGAGGGCAAGAGGAGACTGGACGAATGAGGGAAGATGAAAGGAGAGGGTGATGGAGGGCTGAATCTGATCAAAGTACACTATATGAATGTGTGAAAATAGAATAATAAAATCGATTAAAATTATTTTTAAGGGAGGGAAAGAGAGTAAGAGTGATATATAGTTTAGGTGCATTATTTGTTTGTGATGTTAGTTCTTTTGTACAATATATGCCAATAATAAATTCCTAAGGAAAAATGTTTGAAGGTCCTTCAGCTCAGAAGTGGTAGAGCTGAAACTTGAACCCAAGTCAGACTCTGGTTTGTGCTCTTAATCATCCCAAGGGAAAGAGAACTAAGATTTCTGATAATAGGTGATTTGACCTTGAGTGAAAAAGAAACCTTTTCTTCTCTCTCATTTCACCATCTTGTTTTTGTTTTTTGTTTTTTCCAGTCTTAGGAATGGAACCTAGGGCTTCATATAAGCCAGGCCTCTAGCTAGACCTCAGACCAAATATAAACATCATAACCTTCAGTTTTCTATTTAATAGGCAAGAATATATGTTTCGTGTTTGCACTGTGCCTAACAAACATTGCCCATTCTACTTCAACAGCAAGTGTTTAGTAAGAACCCTAAGTAATTAATCTTGTTCTATGAATAAAGAGCCTGCTATGAAAAACACAAAAGGTTTACTGCTTCCCATGACCTGCACAGCACAGCTGCTCAATAAATATTCCTACAGAGTTCAAACCCTTGAGTTCTCTCTAGTCTCCCTTGTCTCTCTTCAATTAGGTATCCTCCAATAATGCCGAGCCATTCTGCCAAGTATCTTTCAGGAAGTGCTATGGGCCAGGTGTAGCTTGGTGGCAGAGTGCTACCCAACATGAGCCAGGTTCTGAGTTCAATTCCTAGCATCATTATTAAAAAAAGAAAAAACAAAGTTATGTGCTGGTGGTTCACACCTGTAATCCTAGCTACTTAAGAGGCTGAGATCTGAGGATCATAGTTCAAAGCCAGCCTGGGCAGTAAGGTCTGTGAGATTCTTATTTCCAATTAACCATCAGAAAACCAGAAGTAGCATTATGGCTCAAAGTGGTAGACCACTAGCCTTGCGTGAAAAAGCTCAGGGACAGGCCTAGGCTCTGAGTTCAAGCCCCATGACTGATCACCAAAAAATATAATAATAAAATTAAAAAGTGGTGTGTGTTTCCGATGATTTCTTATTGCTATTGATTTTTTAAAAAGACATGCAAAATAGTCTGGGGTTAAGGCTGATGTCTTCCCCATTTAAAGGTGAATTCCTACTCATTACAAATGGGGTTAACCAATTATACCAGTTTACTTTTTAAAAGTTAAAATGCAGAGCTGGGCACAGTGGTATGCAGTAGTCATAGCTACTCAAGAAAATGGCTTGAGGCCAGAGTTTAATTAAGGTCAATCTAGTGACATTAAGGACCTCCAATCTCAAAAACAAAACAAAATGTTCAAATATAAAAATAATAAAATGAGAAGTAAAATTCTGCTTATTTCTTGAGTTACTAAAAAATTGATATGCATTTATTTTTAAAATGAAAATGAGAGGGAAGGGGTGACACAATGCCAAAGAAATGACTCATTATCTGAGTTATGTAACTGTAACTACTCTATACATCACCTTTAAAACAATTTTAAAAAACTAAAAAAAAAAAAATCAGTAAAAAAGATTTTGCTGTATATACTACAATCTTTTTTAAAATCAGAAAGCAGTGCGGGCCAGGTGTGGTGTCACACACTAGTAATTCCTGCACTATGGAAGCAGAGAAAGAAGACTACAAATTCCAGGCCTGCCTGGCCTACTTTGTAAGATCTTGTCTCAAAAAACTAGGGGATAGAGATATATATAGATCAGTGGTAGAGAGCCTGCCTAACATGTACAAGGCTCTGGGTTCCATCAGCAGCATTGCAAAAACAAATCAACAAAAAGTTGTAATAGAATATTCTACATGAGGCTATAGGTGTTCTATATTGATCATCAGAATTGATTCACAGTATGAATGCAGTAAGGATGTATCACAATCAAAGCAACCACCTCTATGGATGGATCAACAGTTGGTAGGTTAGGGTATTTGGTTACCCATTCAAATATTTGCTGTCCTCATTCTGCTTTGTCCATTGAACCCTGACTGTGTTCCAATGACAACATGCTTATCCTATTGCATGCTTTTGTGGAGTCCCTTACTCATAAAGCCATGCTGGGTGGTTCTGGCTAAGAAACCTAACTGATAGATGGTGACATTTCTCAGGATATAGGAAGTGGCACCAAACAATGCTCTAACTCCATTCTTCCTGAGATGACTATGATAGCTAATACTGAAAGTCATTTTAACAAGGTCACAAGGCAACACTAAGACAAGCAGGTAGGCAGTAGAGAAGAAAGCGCTTGTATGTCTGTACCCACCCACATACAGAGGCATCGTCTCACTTTCAAGAATCCAAGTGCATTTTGGCCTGAATGTCTTTAAAAAAAAAGTGGGGGGGGGAGGGGAAAGGAAATGCTTTACATTAAAAGTTCAGTGCAGACTTGTAAGTGATATCCTACAGAACAAAAAACATAGTAGAACTTGTAAGTGATATCCTACAGAACAAAAAACATAGTAGAACTAGATGTAAAGAAAACTGTTTTCAGATGTTCCTCAAAGCACCTTTAGGGGCTGGGTCCAAAAATGTTCTGGTGCCATGCCACACATGCTTGTCTGGTAAGTTGTATACAATCTGTGACACTTCTGCTTTCCCTTGAGATGTCTGTTTTCTTTAACCTACTCTGAAAATACTCCAGGTTCCTAAGTAATCTGCATGAAAAACTGGAAGATTTTGATTTAGATAAACCATTACATTTTCCCAAAGCAAGGAAACAGAATAAAAATAAAATATTACAGGGCTGTTTTCAAAAGCAGTAAAATAGTTCCTTTCTGTGAGGTTAAGAGTACTTTTCCTAGTTACTTAATATCAGAAAAGAATTTCTATTGCTTTAATGAAGATGGTTTTTTTCAATTTTGCCAATCTCTAATATTGGCAAAAATATAAGATGCCAGTGTTCTTAAAATTCAGCAACTTTTCACTCTATTTAAAATAAGCACTTAAAACTCTTATTAAATGAGCAAATTTACACTGAATAATTGCTGTTTAAAATATTACAGATAAAACATTTAATGCATAATCCAAACTGTATAAAACATTTATGCTTCTTAACAGAAGCTTACATTTATACTACTTTTACAAGTTATAAACTGGTTACATATCTCATTTGATGTTCAATAGGGACATGTCAGATAAACATTATTTTACAGACACTATTCAGTACATTAGGTGCTATATCTGTAGTCCTGAAACTTTGGATCTATAAAGGGTTTACTAATATAAATACTATACAGGTTTCAAATTTTTTTAATCATCATTTTCAAGCTTTCCATTTTCTTTTTTTTTTGGTTGCTCATGGGGCCTACCTAAACTCAGGGCTGCACTATCCCTGAGCTTTTTCACTCAAGGCTAGTATTCTACCACTTTGAGCCAGAGTACCACTTCTGTTTTCAGGGGATTAAGTGGAGATAAGAGTCTCACAGACTTTCCTGTCCAGACTGGCTTTTAGCTATGATTCTCAAATCTCAGCCTCCTGAGTAGCTAGTATTACAGGCATGAGCCACTAGTACCCAGCAAGTTTTCCATTTTCCATAATGTAATGATAAAAATTAGATGAGTAGACAGTCATACACTAGCCCGAAGTAAAATCTACTTTGAAGTTCTTATATGGTTCCTATTTAGGGCACTAGAAATCATATATCAATGATTTTGTTCGCTTTTTCAGAGGAAATGATACAGACATTTCTCCCGCCTCCAAGTCTTACATCTATGTAGATGGCCAGGAAGAGAAATGCATTATCCAAAACAGGAGTTATAGACCTAATTACCCTACCTTAAGCCCTCAGGGTCCTGACAGCAAAGTCATCATCTCATCTCCAGCCATAACTCACTTGTTCTCCACTCCACCTCTCTTACTTCATACACAGTGTAGTCTGGAAATTCTAACCAGTAGCTTTTGTTTCTGAGTTATCTTCCTTACTATACAGTTTTCATTTTCAGAATTTTCTTTTTCTCATTTCTAAATACCAGTAGATGAAGGAGGCAGAACAGAGTCAACTTCAATAATAATTTCCCAGCAAACAGTTGGGCAGAAATGAAAGCGCAGTGGTAACTGGCCAGACAGCAACACCTGTATTCACCATGCTGTTCTCCAGGACTGGAAAGCCACTCTTCTCTATCACGCTGCCAAATCAAAAGGACACTTCTACCTGGATGCAAATACAAACTAGAACAACGTATTTAAGTCATGGTTCAACAAACTCAGTCTTTTAAATGGTAAAAAAATTTTTATTGCAATTGAGGACATTTTTCAATAAATATCTTTGAGACTTTGGCTAGGAAATCCTTAGCATTAGAAATCCTATCTGGCACAAGCCCATTGCCCGCAATGGTATTTTATCAAAACTATAAATGCCAGTACATCAAATAAGTAAATACTGTACTCAGTTGTTCATGTCTAAATATTTCATCAGCTAGGAAACAGACCAAATGTAAATGCTGAGTATGTGATACAAATAAACATTCTTCACAGAAGAAAATAATAAAAGACTAATTTTCTACATGTCATCTGTTCATTAGTTCTTCAATATTATTTCAGCTACTTCAAGGATAATAAAATTTATGTACCAGGACCCATGTTTTCTCCACATTTTTATCTAAGTTCTATTGAGCATAAACAAAGATACATATAATCAGTTTTTATACACTTTTGATGTTTCTTCTGCTGTGCATCTTATAACAATGACTGCATGGAGACAAAGACAAACATACATTTAAGTCTTTAGTGGTTATAGGAAGTTTGCTGAATAGCTAATTCTTCTAGAGTGTTGTAAATATCAAGGTAAAATACTGTTTGACCATGCCCTGTGAACTTCAGTCTACTCAGTGAATAACTTCTTCAGTTCATATTTATTACTTTTAAAAAGTTTTTTCTGGGCACCCCTGTGAGCTACTCACTTCCTAGGTTCTCAGAAGGCTGAGATCTGAGAATTATAGTTGAAGCCAGCCTTGGGAAGAAATGCCCAAGAGACTCTTTTCTGGAGAAAAAAGAAATGGAGGTGTGACTCAAGTGGAAAAGCACCAGCCTTAAATGAAAACCAAAGTGATAGCATGAGGCCCTGAGCTCAAGCTCCACACTAGCACAAAAAAAGAAAGTAAAATTTAAAACAAAATAAAAAAGTTTCTAAAAGCTGCAAACCATACTTTATTATAAATTTCTGAATCATGAGAGGTTAATTGTAATACATTTCCTCATCTCTCTGACTCCTGGGGAGAAAAGTTTTTGCAATAGAAATTTCCAAACTTTTTAAAGGTGTGAACTATACTCCATGATAAACCTTCATTCCACAGTTCCTTTTACCCAAGGCATGGTCCCTGTTGCATCTTTTGATGGTTTAGTTTCTGGGAAATTTTCAGCAAACCGTTCTCGAGCTTTGTCCCAGTTTTTTTTGTTCTTGTTTTGGAGAGGATGAACATCATCAATTGAAGATGGTTTGCCTATCCCCAAGCCCGCATGTGTTCGCCGAAGCTGAAGCTGGATCTGTTACCAAATATGGAGCAGAGAAGTTACTTTAGAATTTTAGCACAATGAAGTTTGTCGTGTCCAAATTAGTACTTTTATTTAGTACTATTTATTTAGTACTATTATTTCTTCAACTTCTTAAATAGTGATGTACAGCAAAAACCCCATCAAATGAACTAAAGATATGCATCTCATTTTCCATGAAGTTTAAACACAATTCTCTACGTTGTCTTTCCAGTCACTAAACACAACTAACTCTTTATACAACAAGGAGAGAATCTTACTGAGAGTGTTTTATGAAAGGCACCATGTTCATGGACTTTATCTTTGGCACACTGTTGAAAACAGTCCTTATCAATCCTATTTTCATATATTAAAAACAGAAGTTTAAACTTGTCCTAAAGACACAAAAGACCACATATATATTCTAACCTATAGAAAACATGGGTTCCTTCCATCTTGCCTCAATGAGAATAACAAAACTGGTATTATACTGACACTGATCTATTTCTTTAGGTACGAAGTCACTGCAATGAAATTTCTTGGGTTGGAATGCTCTATTAGGTTTCTCATGGAATATAACGGAACATCCTATGAGCTGTGGAGTATAGACCTAAATCATTGTATTGGTTTCCAGAAACTATTCTCTATATTGCAAGCTGCACGCTCTGATTTTTTTTTTTTTTTTTTAATGTTGGTCGTGGGGCTTGAACTCTGGGCCTGAGCGCTATCCCTGAGCGTTTCAGCTCAAAGCTAGCACTTTACCACTTGAGGCACAGCGCCACTTTCGGTTTTCTGGTGGTTAATTGGAGATAAGAGTCTCACGGACTGTCCTGCCTGGGCTAGCAATCCTCAGATTGACAATCCTCAGATCTCAGCCTCCTGAGTAGCTAGGATTATAGGGGTGAGCCACCAGTGCCTGGGTTTCCAGCTCTGATTCTTGAACCTAACTGTTCCTTGAACCTAACTGTTCCTGCAATGTTCAAAAAGGATGCTAATAAAAATACCTGTAAGGGATTGGATGGAGCTCAGTAGTCAACACATGCCTAGGTGATCAAGGCACTGGGCAAAATTCCCAGCACCCCAAGACAAAAACCCTACACACCTAAAAGATAACACAATACAGAACCACTGGCTCAGGAAATAACATTTAAGAACCCAAACTTGTTGTAGGAAAAAAAAGTTTAAGAAGGTTTCCTAAAACAAAAAAGCACACTTATTAACTTCAAAAGCTATATAGACAGTAACTGTGTCTGCTCTTGCTTGAGAATATACCCCTACTACTTTCACAATGCTTGCCTGGTACATTATCATACATAGTAAGAAAAAAATGAATTGAAAAAAATACAAGTCATACCGGAGTTTTCATTCCTCCACCATCCTTTCCAAGGCCCTCTCCTTTCTTCCAACCCATCTTCTCCAACATCTTCCGACCTTTGTTACTATCAGTAATTTCTCTTTAAGAAAAATTAAAATAACTGATTTATAACAAGACATTTAGGCCACATACTTCATGAGTAAAAATAATTGCTACAACTACTATAGAAAAAGTATATAGCGTTAATAAAGTTGAATACACAGTCTACTCCTAAACATATATTCTTTTCTTAGCAGAAAGTATGTATGGCAAATGACATGCACAAGACCATTCTTGCAGTAAATCTACTAGCAATTATGTGTGTATGCGATGCCTGCCATACTAGGTTTTTCACTCAGGAACCTGGGTGCTGTCCCTTAGCTTTTTCATGGGTGGCACTACCACTTGGGCCACAGAGCTGTTTGTTTATTTGGGGGGGGGGGGCAGGGGAGGTTTATTGGAGATAAAGAGTCTCACAGGGGGCTGGAAAGGTAGCTCAGTGGTAGAGCACTTGCCTTGCATGCCGGAGGCCCTGGGTTTGATTCCTCAGCACCACTAAGCAAAAAGAAAAAAGCCAGAAGTGGCACTGTGGCTCAAGTGGTAGAACTTTGAGCTGAAGAGCTGAGGGATAGCGCCCAGGCCCAGAGTTCAGGCCCCATGACTGGACCAAAAAAGAAAGTCTCACAGACTTTCCTGCCCAGGCTGGCTTCAAATCATGCCTGTAATCCTAGCTACTCAGGAGGCTGAGATCACAGGATAGCAGTTTGAAGCCAGCCAAGGCAGGAATCTGTGACTCTTATTTCCAATAAACTATTCAAAAAATGATCACCACCACCACCACCAAAAAAAAAAAAGAAGAAGAAGTGGAGCTGTGGTTACTCTTCATGCTCACCAGCAATAAAAAATATTTAAAGGGCTGAAGTGCATAACTATAAGGCCTTGAGGGAAAATAACTTGCACGGCAAAAAAAAAAAAAATGAGCCAGCTATTATGGCTCATGACTGTAATCCCAGATACTCTGTGAAGCAGAGACTATGAGTATTAGGTTCAAGGGCAGCCCAGGCAGAGTTGGCAAGATACCATCACAATCAATAAGCAGAGAATGGAGTCACGTGCCTACGTCCTAGCACGTGGAATACTGTGTAAGTAGATAGTTTGAGGTCTGAGATCTCGCTTTAAAAGTCTGTCTCATCCAATAACTGGGCTTGGTGCCCTTCATCTGCTATCCTGGTTAAGAGAAAGCATAATGGCTGAACACAGCAGGGTGTACCTATCTTCTCCATTAACACAGGGAAGCACAAGAAGGACTGAAGCCCAGGTTGGTCTGGGAATAAAAAAGAGCCTCTCTCCAAAATAATCAATATAACCATTCTTTTGGTGGTTCAATCTTATAATCCTAGCTACTCAGGAAGATGAGATCTGAAAATCAGTTCAAAGCCAGCTGGGGCAAGAAAGTCTGTTAAACTCTGATCTCCAATTAACCAGTAAAAACCCAGAAGTAGAGCTGGGTTCAAGTGGTAGAGTGCAAAAACACTCAGGAATAGCACCCAGGCCTTGAGTTCAAGCCCCAGGACACACACACACACACACACACACACACACACGCACACGCACACACGCACGCACGCACGCACGCACGCACACACGCACGCACGCACGCACACACACACACACAATGTAATTATAAAACACACACACACACTCTATGTAATTATAAAACTTACACACACACACATACACACACACACTATGTAATTATAAAACTTTCCTAAGTAACACACCTTACAGATTTGAAAAAACAATCAAAATGTTTAACTACCATTTCTGACTGATTTAAATTAAAAAATGTTTAACTTAAAAAAGAACTCTAGGATGAAAATAATAAGAGCTAATATGATTTAATGAATAAATTAAAAAATGTTTAACTTAAAAAAGAACTCTAGGATGAAAATAATAAGAGCTAATATGATTTAATGCATAAATGTTTTCATTACAAGCTTCAACACCATTTTTTCATGTTTATCAAAGCTTATTTTACTGAGAAAAGTCAAAGAAAATAAGTAAAATAGAATTTCAGAGTAAATAAAAACAAGTGTTTGAGTGTTAAATAATTACAAAATACCAATTTCTTACTAATCCAGGCTTCTAGATACATGAGAGTATAGCCCATACAAATATCAGGAAAGACAGTCATGCATATAATGGGTGCACATGTATAATGGGATGCTCATATTAGAATACATTTAGTGCTTCCATCTTGTTTGAAAATATCCTCGCACTGACTGGTAAGTCAGACTATACTATGCATGGAACTACAGAACAAAGAATGTCCCAAGCCAATACCACTCCATACTCACGAATGAACAGATGCTGGTGCATCATCTCTATGGAAAGTCCCTTCACTTCCCACCTGCTCCCGGCGTTTTCCAGCCCTGTCTTTATATTTTGGATTCTTCAAGGCCTTTTCATCTTCATAGTCTATGTTCTTAATAAACACAAATAAAAAAGATGAAAAGGAAATGAATAAAGGTAACTGCTGTGCATTTGCCTTACTTAGTAAATATGGTTCCATGTGAACTCTACAAACATGAAATTAAAACAAGCTATGACACAATGACAACTATGCTATTAAATATGTAATTTACATTCTATCCTTTTTGAAATTTTATATTAAGTTGTACTATACATATACATAAATGGTAAGATGACAGAATGAAACACTGCATTTTAACAATGTTATGTGTTTTATTGTCAAATGAAGCACAAGTTTGATATTATTTCATGGAAGGGAAACATTTAGTTCAATAGTTTATTGAAGTTTATTGAAAGCAGGGGCTGGGAAGGTGCTCAATGGTAGAGTGCTTGCCTTGCATGCATGAGGCCCTGAGTTCAATTCCTCAGCACCACATAAGCAGAAAAAAGCCAGAAGTGGTGCTGTGGCTCAAGTGGTAGAGTGCTAGCCTTGAGCTGAAGAGCTGAGGGACAGCACCCAGGCCCACAGTTCAAGCCCTACAACTGGCAAATAAAAAAATAAAAAATAAAAATAAGGCAATGGTTCACCTTGTGACAATAGAAGCTTTTTACTTAAATACAATTTCATATGTAAGATTAATGCAATACCCAATTTGTGGGAGTGTTCTGTCTCAATGCACTCAGGGTGAAAACCAGCACAGTTCACAGGTGGTGGCATACTGTTAGGTATATTCATTTTGTCTGTTGTCTTTCACTTTTAGTCACTCATAATTAATTTTGAGATTCATCTGGGTTGGAGCCTGTATCAAAAGCTCTTGCTTTTATTGCTAAATAATATTTCACCATTATACCACAGATAATATGGTTTGTTTACCTAATTTGGACATTAGCTTTCCACTTTGGGGTTATTACAAACAAAAGTGGTGTGATGATTTGTTTGCTAGTCTTTGTGTCAAAATATACCATTAACTCTCTCTAACCTTTTTTTTTTAATATTGTGACCTTTCATTTTTGAAAAACTATCAAGTTTTTCCAAAGCAACTACACCATTTTATATTAACACTAGCAGTGTATGAGTTCCAATACCTATACATCTTTTTCAACATTTGATATATTCAGTTTATAGGCCATTCTAACAGGCTATCTCAGTGTGTGTGTGTGTGTGTGTGTGTGTGTGTATGTGTGTATGTGTGTACATGTGTGTGTATACATATGTGTGTACATGTAAGTACTCAAGACCTGGACACAGTTCCTGAGCTTTTATGCTAAAGGCTAGCACTCTAGCACTAGAGCCACAGCTCCACTTAGGGCTTTTTTGGTTACTTAACTGGAGATAAAAGCCTCATGGGCTTTCCTGCTGGTTTTGAACCAAGAGCCTCAATCTCCTGAGCAGCTAGGATTAAAGGTATAAACCACTAGCACCAGATTCACTTGGTTTAATTCACATTTCTTTAAAGACTAGTAATATCAAACATCCTTTCAGGTATTTTACTTGCCATCTTCTTTGGGAAAGTGTTGGTTCAGATCTCTTGCCTTGTTTTGTTACTGTTTTTGGAGACTACATCTAATGTTGTTGCTCAAACAATCCTCCTGCCTCAGCCTCAAACTATGAGGGGCTACAAGTACTCACCATTTGCAAGACAGTCTATTTTTAATTAAGCTGTTTTCTTATTACTGAGTTTGGAGTTAAAAAATATGTATTCTAGTCTTATCAGAGATATAAGTGGCAAGTGTTTTTCCTAGTTTATAGCTTGTCTTTTCAATCTCTTAGCAGTATCTTTGGAAGAGCAGTTTATTTTGTGTGCTGTTTTTGTTTTTTGTCAGTTATGGGGCTTGTACTCTGGGCCTGGGCACTGTCCCTGAGAAGTTTTGCTCAAGGCTAACATTCTACCACTTTGAGATAAGAATTTGGAAGAATTTAATGGCTTTTCCTGCCCAGGCTGGCTTTGAACCACCATCCTCAGATCTCAGCCTCCTGAGTAGCTAGGATTACAGGGATAAGCCACAAGTGCCCAGCTAACTTTACATTTTATATGTACACACATGATATATTTTCAGGTGTTTTTTGTTGTTTTGCTTTTCCTTCTTTGACATACGGCCATCCAATTATTCTGGCATCATTTGTTGAAAAAGAACAAAACAACTTTCTCCATCAGTCTGTCCTTATACATCTGTGGAAAATTAAGTCATATATACTATATTGTACGGATTCATACAATACATAATACATACAATATTGTCTTAATCATGACATTGATTGACCACTATAATTTACTTTAAGTCTTGAAATCAGAACTAATCTTCTGTAATATCCTTTTTATTTGCCAGTCCTGGGTCTTGAACTCAGGGCTTGGACACTGTCCTTAATCCTCTTTTGCACAAGGCTAGCACTCTACCACTTGAGCTACAGCACCACTTCCAGCTTTTTCTGTGTATGTGGTACTGAGTAATTGAACCCAGGTCTTCATGTATGCTAGGTAAGCACTCTACCACTGAGCCACATTCTCAGCCCCTACAGTATCTTAATGCAAGTATTTTGAAGCTCAGAATGTCAACTCAAATATAAGCTATTATAATTTTCTACATCAACCTAGTTAATATATTACATCCATACCAGAATAGAAATTACATAAATCTCAAAATCACAGTAAGTAGTCCTTTATTATATATAATGTACCCAGCGTATCTGGAGACATTTTAATTAAAAATAAGACATACAATTCAATGTATGAAGTAATACTTAACACATCCTTACCTGCAAACCATATTTTACTCGTATTTTTTTTAATTCTTTTCTTCTTTCTAATTCTTTTTCCTCTTTACTTAATGCTGGGCCAACTAAAAGGAAAAAGTGGGTTTAGATAAAATTCTTCCACTGAATCTGACAGGTTGTAGAAAGTATTGTCATTTCGACAGTATCTGACAACTAACACTACTTTGAAGGAAAGACAAAAATCAGTAATATGAAGATAAAAGACATAGAAGCCAGGCACTGGTGGCTCATGCCTGTAATCCTAACTATGCATGAAGCTGACATCTAAGGATCTCAGTTCTAAGTCAGCCTGCACAGTAAAGTCTGTGAGACTCTAGCTCCAAGAAATAAAAAAGCTGGAAGTGGAGCTGTAGCTCAAGTGTAAACTGCTAGTGTTGAGCTCAAAAGCTCAAGGACATTGCCTACGGCCTGAGTTCAAGCCACAGGACTAGCACTGAAAAAAAAAAAAAAACACACAGAAACAATTGAACAATATACATCTTAAATTTTCATTAAGATTATTGGAATAGAATATCAAATGTGAAATAGCAAATTTTCCAAAGAAATTGTTGGTATGCACAAAATAAAAATAAACATCACAGAACTCAACAATTGTTATATACTATAATACAATGTATTCGTTTTCAAATTAGTACCAGAAAAGAAATAAGCATGCATACTTCATGTTTATAGGAAAAACTTGAATTATGTTTTTTTTTGGTCGTGGGGCTTGAACTCTGAGCCTGGTCCCTGAGCGCTGAGCTCTTCAGCTCAAGGTGAGCATTCTACCACTTGAGCCACAGTGCCACTTCCAGTTTTCTGGTGGTTGGAGATACAGTCACAGACTTTCCTGCCCTGGCTGGCTTTGAACCGCAATCCTCAGATCTCAGCCTCTTGAGTGGCTAGGATTATAGGTGTGAGCCACCGGCGGCCAGCTATGGAATAATTTTAAAAAGAGTGCCTCTTGCTAGTTCAAAGTATCTTATTTTAAATTTTCAGTTGAGTGAACCAAATACACTGGTAATACCCTAGAGTGCTATTAAAAAATTAGAATATGGTCTGGGAATGTGGTTTAGTGGCAGAGTGCTTGCCTTGAGCAAAACAAGCTCAGGAACAGTGCCCAGGGCCTGAGTTTAAGCCCCAGGATTGGCAAAAAATAAAATAAAAAGAATATACAGAAATATACTAATACTACCAACAAAGAAGATATATCACCAATAACCTTTAATGCCCTGACCCGTTTCCTATATTGATATTATAGGACAAAGAACTCGGTGTGTAGCTCAGGTGTATACCAAGTATTTTGCATATAAGAAACCCTAGTTCAATCTCTGGTACCTCAAAAAAAAAAAGCAATTTTATTTGTAATTTCTTTAAAAATTATATATATGTATATATATAGTGTTGCTTATAGTATATAATTATATATAATTATATTAGTTGTAGGTCAAACAAAAATTATATATACTGGATAACATTTATATCAATATTCATAATTACTATAATAAAATTACAACACAATTGTATAACTGTAACATCCAGTGTATGTATACACATACACACACACACAAACACAGTGGAATGGTTAAATCAAGATAATTAACACCTACATTACACCTCTCACATTTATCTTGAACTCAGCACATGTATGTTATTCTTATGCTTTGGTGCCCAAGGCAGGCACTCTACTTCTTGAGTACAGCTCCATTTCTAGTTTTTTGCTAGTTAATTATAGACTTTCTTGCCCATGCTGATTTCAAGATCCTCAGATCTCAGTCTCTAGAGTAGCTTAAATTACAAGCCACTGGAGCCTCATTTATCATTCTTTTGCATGATGAAAATTTAACATCTATTCTCTTAAAGCAGAGGGTGTAGCTTAGTGCAGAGTGCATCCCAAGCCCTATGCTCAACCCCTACCATCACAAACACAACTTCTAATTAACAATTTTCAAGTACATTTGATACCAAAAGGTCATTTAGCAGACACCAAATCATCAAAAACAGCTCAACAGTATCTTTTCTCTAGTCAGAAAGCAGTCTCTGTCACATTATCACTTAGCCAAATTATCACATAAAAGTCAACTACAAACCTAGTCTATTAAGCTACAGTAGAATTCTAAATATAATGTATGTTTTAGTCTTTTGGGTCCGGTCGTGGGGCCTGAACTCTGGGCTGGGCGCTGTCCCTCAGCTCTTCAGCTCAAGGCTAGTGCTCTACCACTTAAGCCACAGCGCCACTTGCGGCTTTTTTCTTTTTGCTTATGTGGTGCTGAGGAATCGAACCCAAGGCCTCAGGCATTCAAGGCAAGCGCTCTACCACTGAGCCACCTTCCCAGCTTATGTTTTAGTCTTGTGAGAATATTCTCTAAAATACATCCATTACTATGTCAACCATGAATAAAGCTAAGAACTTTATGTATCTCTATCAATATGAAGCTATTAACTGACACATTCTGAGCACACTTAGCAAATTAATATTCTGAAAAGGTATGAGTCATATCCATATTGAACAACATATTCCACATACCAAAAGACTCATCTTTCTTATCAAGGCGAAGGTGAGCTCTAACCTGCCCTGGCTCACAGCCGTCACAGGTCTCGCTGCCAGGATGGATATGGAAGGAAAGTACAGTTTCTCCGATTTTCACTTCATCTCCATGTTCAAGTACGTAAGGATCAGATTTTGTTTTGGGCTAGAGAAGAAAAATTTCAAAACCCACAACAGTCACACATGGCTACTTTATGTCTACTATCAGTAATATCTAATTATAATAAGCATTTGAAATGATTCTTAGTAAATAGACACAGATGCTCACACTTCAACTTGATGGATGACACATAGGGGTAAGGGATGCTGTCAGGTGTACAGTTCACATTTATTAGCATGTACAAGGGCCTAGGTTCAAACCCCACCATCATTTAAAATATACATATATATATATAATTCTTACTCTATCAAACTCCATTAATCTCCTTATCTCTGCACACAACCCAAGAAGACTCAACTCTAAACTTTGATGTACTACCAAACAAAACCATCAGTCAAAAGATGAAATGTAGCCGGCTGCCAGTGGCTCATGCCTATAATCCTAGCTAACTCAGGAGGCTGAGATCTGAGGATTGCAGTTCAAAGCCAGCCCGGGCAGGAAAGGCAGGAAAGTTCGTGAGATTCTTATCTCCAATAAACCACTAGAAAACCAGAAGTGGCGCTGTGACTCAAGCAGTAGAGCCCTCGCCTTGAGCTGACAGTGCCCAAGCCGAGTTCAAGGCCCACGACTGACCTCCCCGCCCCAAAAAAAGATGAAATGTTAAGAGAAAGGGATAAGTATATTACATTATTCTTTTTTCCTCTTCATAATTCAATTTTATTCCTTTTTTTTTTTTTGGATGGTACTAGGGGTTACAACTTAGAGCTTCGCATGTGCTAGGCAAGTATTTCCTGTCCTGTTTGCTTCATTTTGGGGATAGGATCTGGCATTTTTGCCTCAGCCAGCCTGCACTGCCATCTTTGTATTTATGTTTACTGTAGCAAAATGAACCACACCCAACTACTGGTTGAGACAGGAGAGGCAGAAATTGGGAGGATCAGGGTTCAGCAAAGGCAAAATGATAGTGAGACTCAACAAATGGACCAGATATGATGATTGGCTCATGCCTATAATAGCAGATACATGGGAGGCATAGGTAGGAAAATCCAAAATGCACTAAGACTTTGTATGAACAATAAAGCAAAAAGGCCAGGAGTGGATTAAGTGGTAAAGCATTTGCCAAGCAATTATAAGTCAAAAGCCAACAGCCAAGTATCCTCTGATTATATGCTTTTTCTACCCATTTCTGAAAATGCCAAATAACACATTTGAGCTTGAACTCTGATCTGAACCAAATGGTATAATAACTATGGCATAAAAAAGTCAGTTTAGTTAAGCCAGGCACTGATGGCTCATACCTGTAATCGTAACTACTCATGAGAGTGAGATCTAAGAATTGTGGTTCAAAGCCAGTCTAGACAGGAAAGTTTGTAAGGCAGGTATTTATCTCCAAATATACCAAAAAGCCAGAGTGGAATTGTGGCTCAAGGTGGTAGAGCACTACCCTTTATCAAAAAAGCTCAGGGACAGCACCCAGACCCTGAGTTTAAGCCCCAGGACTGAAACCAAACAAACAAACAAAAAATCAGTTAGTTTTAAAAACAAAGTACAGGAAATTAATATATATTCACTCACCTGAATAATCTGTTTTCCATTAACAATTGTGCCATTTTGACTGCCTTGATCCACAAGGACATAACTTTGTAAGTCATGGTCGAAATAAACTTCTGCGTGAAACTTAGAAAAATCAAGCAATATAAAGTATATATTTTTTCTAAACCACAGATAACATTTTCTATGATAGTGAGGTGGACTTTAGTCTCATAATTCAAATGACAATAATTTAATACATATTGTGTTTTCCTATTTCTTAAATGGTTTAAACTCTAGTACAATTGACATTTTTTCAACTATAAAGTTAATTGTCCATAGCAAGAAAATGTTTTATAGTACTGGGGACTAAACTGAGGATGTTGTTCATCTGAGCCACACTTCCCAATTCTTTATGTGTATTTATTTTTTGGCAGTACCAAGGCTTGAACTTAGGGCCTGGTGCATGTTAGGCAGGTATTGTACCACTTGAGCTATGCTCCCAACATTTTTGCTTTGCTATTTTTCAGGTAAGGTCTTACGTTTTTGTCAAGGCTTATTAAAAATTCTTAATATTAAAGGTGACCTGAAATTACCAAGGACAACTTCTCAGAGTTTTCCAGATCTTTAATACTCAGAACAGATTGTTCCAAAGATGTTGTTGCTATACCTTAACAGTGTATCATGAGATTCACCCATTTGTTGGGTACAATAGTACTTCACTCAGTTTGCTGAACAATAGCCCACTGTATGGGTAAACAAGCCATCTATTTTTCTAAACTGAACATCCAGGCTTCTCAGGTTTTATTATTTTTTTAAAAAACTGCTTTGAGTCTTCACATATATATATGTGTGTATGTGTGTGTGTGTGTATATATATATATATATGGATTTCCACCGTATACAAATATTTTCCTAGGGTAAACACCTAGGAATGGAATTGATAAATCATATATTATGCAAATCTTAAACTTCCAGATTGCTTCCCAAATTTATTTGCACCAGCAGTCTGAGTTCTTGTTGCACAGAGCCAGAATTTTAAAGTTTTATTATCCCAGCAGATATGAGATGAAAGTCTTACTGCTGCATTTTTAATTTGTATTTTTCTTATTACTACTGAAAACCTTTATGATCTTTTTTTTTTTTTAGGTCTGAGACTGGGACTCAAACTTGGTACTTGATGCTTTGGCTCACTGGCCAGCACTCTACTAATAAAGCCATGCCTTTTTTTTCCAACCCTTTTTTTGTTTTTTCTATTACTTTTTATTAGCTGGGAGGTTTGGAATATCAAGTCTTTCACACTGCCAAACCCTATTCAAACAAGCTGTTCTAAATTATGCTTCCTAAAAGAGTCATATTTAGTACACATGTTCAATGAAAACTGACATCTTGGTCCATTATATTTTGTAGATTGGCTTTGTGGTATTGCTTTACTGTGAGCTGCTTGCTCATTCTTTATTCACTTGTCTATTGGTGTCACAACAGGCATTCAGAAACTGAATCTGAACAAACTTTTTAAACATAAAGGAGATGTATTTTGTCACATGAATTGTTGCTGTTCTGTTGTGCCTTTTATCTCTATCTACCTAGTGCCAGTACTGGAGCTTGAATACAGAGCCTCACACTCTTAAGGACAACAGTTTACCACTTGTGCCACAGTGCCACTTCTGGCTTTCTGTTGGTTAAGTCTCATGGACTTTCTGTTGGTTAAGTCTCATGGACTTTCCTGCCGAGGCTGGCTCTGAACTACAATCCTCACATCTCAGCCTCCTGAGTAGTTAACATTATATAAAGTATAAGCCACCAACATATAGCTTATTTTATTTTAAACTCAGAAAGCCTTATATCTAATGATTAAATGTGAATTTTTTTTTTTTGCAAAAGCATTTACCACCTATCTGGATATGTGTTATATATGCTGTTAAGCTGATTTTTTCCAACAAAATATCTACTCCTTCAGTGGACATTAGTCTAAAAAAACAAAAAATGGGCTGGGAATATGGCTTAGTGGTAGAGTGCTTGCCTAGCCCTGGGTTTTATTCCTCAGTACCACAAAAACAGAAAAAGCTGGAAGTGGTGCTGTGATTCAAGTGGTAGAATGCTAGCACTAAAGAATTTACTACTTAAGTTACACATTGGGCTTCCTTTGGAGGCAAGATAATCAAAGGTCATAATAAAGTAAAATAGGCAGATAATTTGGTTTGAGTTAAGACGATAAGGTTTTCCTCCTTCAAATGAGTTCCAGAAAAGTGATACAAACTAGACCTTCACACTAATAATGAAAAGTAAATTTCATTCCAAATAGACAAAAATCACATAAAGTCTTTTTTAGGTTCACTTATACTCCATTAAGTAATAACAAAATGGCAATCTCACTATGTAGCACAAATTATACACAACTCAATATCATTCTGACCCCACTTTGCAGGTGCTGGAATTACAGACTTGTGCCACCAGGCCCATATTTTATTTTTGCTCTTAATGGAATGACCCGTTTTGCATAGGGAGCAATACTTGAGAAATCAAAGATCTTACCTTACTGACACCCACTTCAGGGATTCGGAGAGTATGCTCCATATCTTTTTCTCTGAAGAGTTAAGTAAAGTTTAGTCTTCAGAATTGCAAAACATATACAGACACGACAGTTAGAGAGCGACATGATAAATACATTTTTTAGGATGGATATTAAAATACAAGTCTATCACAGGTCTCCTGGTGATATACTGTCCTTTCCACTCTACTACATTTCCAATTATTTGCTCGTATCTTTTTTTCTCTTCCAGTTGTGCTTTCTTTGGGTGGAAATTTTGCCCTAGTACTTTTTATACTGATAGCACATAGAACAGGGCTTGATACACAATACATGCTCCTCCATCAAACCCTTCAGAAGTAAAAGAATGACATAACAAAATTAGCCATTTTTACCTTCCAATTGTAGCAGGGTTTACAGCTGTAATGATAAAAAGTGATCCTGTCTGCAGCACTGGTGATCTAATAACAATTACTCTAATACATGGAGGCCAAATTTTTTCTGCATCTGCCAAAGAAAGAAGTAGGGAAATATTAATTCAAATGTTATGGAAAAAATTTTCACATGGATAACTAGGAGACATCCATTAAGCAAGAATGTATTGGCAAAACCTGGAGGTGTAGCTGTTATAGAGCACCTGCCTAGCATAGGAGAGGCCTTGGATCAATCTTCAATACTACAAAGGAAAAAAACAGGCTGGGAAGGTGGCTCAGTGGTAGAGTGCTTACCTTGCACACATGAGGACCTGGATTCAATTTCTCAGTACCACATAAACAGAAAAAGCCAGAAGTGGAGCTGAGGCTCAAGTGGTAGACCATTAGCCTTGAGCTGAAGAGCTGAGGGACTTGCCCAGGCCCAGAGTTCAGGCCCCAAGACTGACAAAAAAAAAAAATCTTATTTCTGGCTAAAACAAACTTCAATTCTGCTACATGCTACATATAGCAACAAATAAGGCTTAACACTATTCTAAAATACCCAAAGGTATGCAATATATTTAGTATCACAAAGAAAATTAATTTTTAAGATCAGGTCCATTTTTAAAAATAAGAAAAATTCTAGACTTCAAGAGTAAAAGAACAAAAGGAATTCACTTAGTATAATGATATCCTATTTTTTATTCATATATTAATCATTTACTCACATCCTATCTTCTAAAATTGCCAAGTGGTCACTCACATAATTTTTATTAATGTCTTCACAATAACCAGTTTCCTTCCTGACAAGAATTCTAGGTGAGTCACCAATGTTTATAGTAATTCTCTCTTTTACAGTTAAGCAAGTGGGTTTTTCATTTATAGCTATCAGGTGCTTACCTTCCTCCTCCATTTCTTCTGTAGCTCCATTGTCTTCACTGCTTTCATCTTCGTTACAACTGTCCTCAGTCTGGGAATCTGTGATTTCACCTTCTTCTGGCTCACTGTCACTTTCTATGATTTTTTCATCTTTAAATGAAGTTGAATTAGGAATCTTCTCTTTTAGAGGAGATTCTAAAGAGTTTTCACTAATTGCAATGGTGAATTTAGGGGAAATATTTTTGTAATGGCAGTCTACTTTGGCCTTCTTTTTCCCACTTGCACAATTTTCTGCCTCACTGTAGTTCATATATTCAACACTAGAGGACTTTTGATCTGAATTCAAATCCTGGAAAGAGGTAAGTAGGTAGATAGGTAAAAGCAAGAAGAGTAATTTTAAATATCATTATCATATATCTGTAAAGAATGAATTGTACGGGGTGGGGAGGGGGAGATTGGAAGGGATGGGAAGGGGAAACAAGGAGGAGGCAAGCATGCTTGATAAGAAATGTACTCATTATCTTGCCCATGTAATTGTAACCCCTCTGAACAGTATTTTCACAATAAAAAATAAAGAATGGATTGTAATAATGTATCAACAAGGAAAAAGTAACACACTGTGCAATAACTCTCAGTTTGGCAGTAGTGAGGTTTGAACATAGAATCTCACACTTACTAGGTTCCTACCACTAAGCCATAGCTCCAGTCCTTTATAGCATTTTTGTGTGTGTGCTGGTCTTGGGAGCTAGAATTCAAGGCCTGGGCACTGTCCCTGTGCTTGTTTGCACAAGGCTAGTGTTCTACACCTAAGCCCCACCTCTACTTCCAGCTTTTTGATAGCTAAGATAAGAGTCTCATGAACTTTCCTGTCTAGGCTGGCTTTTTACAGGTAAGAGGCACAGGTGCCTGATTAGTTTTGAGATTAAAGTCTCACTTCCTACCTACACACCTGTACTGCATACCTACACACCTGGACTGCAATCCTCTCATTTTTAGGCTTCCCATCACAGCTGGGACCACATTTAACTTCTGCCAGAGATAGTCTCATGGATGTTTCAAACCCCCATCCTCCTGTTCAGTCTCTCAAGTAGCTAGAATGATAGGTATGAATAATAGGGACCTGGCTTCAACTTCCTTTTTTGCAGCCTAAACTGGGGCTTGAACTCAAGTCCTGAGTGTTGTCTTTGAGTTTTTAATGCTAAAGCCTAGTGCTCCACCACTTGAGCCAAAGCTCCACTTTCAGCTTTCATGGTGCTTAATTGAAGAGTCGCAAGGGCTTTCTTGTCCAGGCTGTTTTAAACTGATCCTCAGACCTCAGCTTCCTGAGTAGCCTGAGCCATCAGTGTCAGGCTTTAAGTTCCTTTCTTAAAAACATTATTGTCCTCTTGTCTTCCAAATTAAGAACCTTATCAGTGATACTCCCTTAACCACCACATGGAATCAACTGCCAATACAGATTCCATTGATAATTTTGATCTAAGTTTGTTCTCAATATCCTACCATTCCCAGTCCAGAATTCATCATCCTGTATTACTTGAACCTTGTAACAGTTTATACCAAAGCTGTCCAATAAACACAATGTTAATCCCTATTTCTCTTTTTAAATTTACTAACAGTTAAATTTAAAAGTAAAATTTAAAAAAAAAACTAAAATTAGTAGCTGAGCACCAGTGGCTCATGCCTATAATCCTAGCTATTCAAGAGGCTGAGATTTGTGACTTGCAGCTTGAAGCCAGCCAAAGCAGGAAAATCTTGTGCAGCTTTATTCCTTTCAATAAGAGGGTTTGAAGTTAAGATTTCAGGCCTGATAAGGCAAACACTCCATCAGTTGAGCCATGCCTAACCTTTTTTGCTGTATTTTTCAGATAGGTGCTAATGTTTTTGTCCTGGCTGCCCTTGGACCATGATCATCTTAACCTGTGCTTCCCACCTGGCTGAAATTACAAACACATATAATAACTCTAAACTCATTTGATGAGAGGGACTCTCATCAACTTTTGCCTGGGCTGATTTTTGACCCTGCCAGTCTATGAATCCTGAGTAGCTGGGATTACAAGCATGCACCACTTTATCCAGCCCATGTTTTGAAATCTATATACAATGAGCAACTAACTCAAGTTATTTAATACGGGTGCTCCCTACCTGCTGTGGATAGAATACTTAAAATTCACCTTCATGTCATTTTCAATAATTCATTACATTGAATGGGAACAGATATAGCTCAGTAGCAGAATGTTTGCTGAGCATTTGTAAAGCCCTAGAATCTATCCTGAGCAGTACACACACAAACCAAAAGAAAAAAAAAAAAAGAGAAGAAAGAAAGAAAAAGAAAAAGAAAAGCAAGCAAGCAAATGTATTACTTGGAAGTAAAGAGTTATTTTGCTTTTCTGTCTGGAATGTAACACATTGGCAATTTTCTTTCTACCTCAGAGTAACTTGATGAAGGGAATTCATATGATCATCTTTTATAAAATACTATGTATGAAAGGTGCCAGTGGTTCATGCCTATAATCCTAGCTACTCATGAGCTAAGATCTAAGGATCATAGTTCAAAGCCAGTCTGGGCAGGAAAGTATACAAGATTCTTATCTCCAATAAACTATTCAGAAAAAGCCAGAGGTGGCGCTATAGCTCAAGTAGTAGAGCACTAGCTCTACTAGTACAAAGAGGCTTGAGTACAAGGAGGCTCAGGGTCAATACCCAGGCCCTGAGTTCAAGCCCCAGGACCAGCAAAAAATAATAAAATACTAAATTTAATTTGGATATTGCTAACCATTCACAGTGTGATGAACTATATCCACTCCCAACAACTGAAACTGGCCAAGGAAAAGAAGTAAAAAGAACAAGGGCAAGAAATTGGGGCGAGGGGGGGGAAGGGGAAGGAATCAGAAGCTTTAGGCCATGTAAATGATAAAAACCTCCCTATTTTTGTTTATACTTTTGTTGTTTGTTTCTTCTTCTTGTTGTTGTTATTCAGTGCTAAGGAACAAAGTCGGCCTTGCATCTGAGAGGTGAGAGTTCTATCACTCAGCCAAGTCCCCAACTCCAGTGTTAACACTTTTAAAAAAGCAGTTTCCCATCTGGTATATTTTGTTATTACTATTGCTTATAGAGCAATATACACAGGGGGAAATGAGTGAAAATGTCAGAGGTGCTACTTTTATAAATTTTGTTCTGGACATTAAGATCTAACTAATTTATCTACCTACCTACCTTCTTACCTACCAAACTACCTCCTATCTCCTACCAACCAACATATTCCTTATTCATTTTAATCCCAAGTATTTTACCGCGATCTCCTCACCATATTACTTTCCCTGTACTTATCCTCACCTGCAAAAAGCGAAGATCAAGAGCATTTTAAACATACAGAAATGAGGATGCTTTAACTGGTCTTTCATGGCTGCATAGCAACCGTTTAAAATCCTCAGGAAATTGTCAAAATCTCATCAAGATTTTTCTTAAGTTCCTACATTCACATATTTTTGGAAAAGTTATAGGAGCTAGGCTAACCAACACTATCACAAAGTATTTCTACTTCCATTCTCTACCTAGCACATCAACAAAGGCCTGAGGCCTCCCCACATCCTTCCCATGTCTAGGGAGAGTGCTTCTCAGACTAACCTGTCAAACAGTCCTAGGCACAAATTCTCAAACAGAGATCTTGAGCAAACAGAAAATAAATTTTAGTAGCTTAGTTGTGAATGAAAAAATAAGAGAAACAGGCTGTATGTCAGTAGCTAACGCCTGAATCAATTCTGGGATCTAAGGATCATGGTTACCAGTCAGCTCAGGCAGGAAACTGTTAAGACTTAATCTCTAATTAACCAACAAAAAGCTGTTAGAGGAGCTGTTAGAACACAGGCCTTCAGCAAAAAAAGCTCAAAACCCAGTCTCAGCTCAAAAAAAAATAAAAGGTTTAAAAATGAAAAAAATTATATATAGAATAGAAGAAAGTCCAACCAAATTCTAATTCTATATATGAACTTCAGAATTTGCTATTATTTTCAGCAAATTTTCTCTGGTTAAAAAGAGAAAAAAACGGGCTGGGGAGGTGGCTCAGTGGTAGAGTGCTTGCCTTGCATGCATGAGGCCCTGGGTTTGATTCCTCAGCACCATATAAACAAAAAGAAAAAAGCCGGAAGTGGTGCTGTGGCTCAAGTGGTAGAGCACTAGCCTTGAGCTGAAGAGCTGAGGGATAGCGCCCAGGCCCTGAGTTCAGGCCCCATGACTGACAAAAAAAAAAAAAGAGAAAAAAACAAGCTGGATGGCAGTGGCTTACACCTGTAATCCTAGCTACTCAAGAGGCTGGCATGTAAGGATCTCAGTTCAAAGCCAACCCAGAAAGTCCAAGACTCTTAATTTCCAATTAATCACCAAAATATTAGAAGTGGAGTTGTGGCTCAAGTGGTAGAGTGCTCACTTTAAACAAAAAAAGCTCAGGGACAGCACCTAAGCCGAGTTCAAGCCCCAGGATCAACACATATGCATGCCCATGCACACACACAATAGTATTTCCAGAGTATATTATCAAATAGTTCCTAAATTTTAGAAAAATGCCAATATAACAAAAAAGCCTCCTATGCTGCCTATAATACACTAACTGTATCTGTTAGTGAGCAGAAATAAGAACCCTGATAATATATTTTCATTATCTACCTATTAAAAGCTACTTAATACTTTTTCAATTAAATTTATCAGTTCTTTCTTAGCCATGTCTTGAAAGTCATGTAGACTCTATTGTTTTTCTGTTCTTGGAAATACTGATGTGTCTTGCACATGATAAATTATATGGGACTTTAAATATTCACACAATGAGACCAAAGGAGGATATTTTTTAGGAGAGGATCACAAAGGCTCAATAGCTATAGCCATACAAATAAAATTATGTTTATCAAAATGAACTCCAAGAGTGTTTTTGTTATTTTGCTTTTTTTTTCCTATTTTTTGTTGCTGTTTCTGATTTCTGTTCCTTTTGTCTTATATGTAATTTTATCTGTTGTGGGGAGGGTAAGGAAGAGGACAGAAATGATTTACATGTCAAAAAAATAAGAAATATCACTATGTATACATTAGAATTCTTTCATTGGATTTTTAAAAATATAAATAACTAGAAATAAAAATTTTCAACCAGGGATTATAAACATTCGTACAACCAAACTATTCACCCTCCAAAAATATAAGTTAAAATCCATATAGGCCAAAAACAGTGTCTCACATCTGTAATCTCAGGTACTTGGGAAACAGAAATCAGGATGAGCTTTGAGGCAAGCCCAGACAACAAGTGTGCTGTAAGCTGGGTGCAAGTGGTTCATGCCTGTAATTCTATTCAGAAGGCTGAGTATATGAGAATTGCAGTTTGAAGCCAGCCCAAGCAGGAAAGTCTGTAAGACTCTTATCACCAATAAACTACCAAAAAAGCTGTGGCTGAAGTGGTAGAGTGCTAAACAAAAGAAGCTCAGGGATAGTACCCAGGCCTTTAGTTCAAGCTCAGGACTAGTACACTAACGTGCATGTGTACACACACACATACACACAAAGTTTTAATAGTATAAGCCTGTAATTCCACAGCATGGCCACAAATGTAAGACCCTCTCTGGAAGGTAACCACAGCAAAAAAGGCTGCAGCTGTGGTAAAGTGTCTGCCTGACAAGCAGGAGGCCCAGAATTCAAGACCTAGTACTGCCCCCAAGGTTGGTTGGTTGGTTGGTTTCTTTGGTCAAGGATATACTCTATCATTAAGCCACAGCTCCGTTCTCAGCATTTTGGTGCCTAATTGGTGATAAAAGTCTCGTGGACTTTCCCACCTGAGGTTGGCTTCAAACCACGATTCTCAGATCTCAGCCTTCTGAGTAGCTAGGATTATAGGCACGAATCACTGGAATTCAGCACAAACTGCTTTTCTTTTGTGAATTGTGAAATGACATCAAACTTATCCATTTAGGGTCAAATTATAAAACACAATATATTTTATCTGTTCCAAACCTACCTTCTTCAATTTTAAGAAATACCTTCTATTTCTTAGTGTCTGATTATTTCTGAAAAAGTCCATGTTTGTTCCACTGAACTCTCCTTGGTTAGTGAATTATAATCTCAGAGACATCAATGATTCCAGAGTCATAGAATGATCCCAGAGTCATAGAATGATTTTCAGTTTTATAAAAAAAAAATTTGGTTCAATTAAATTATCAAAATTGTGAAAATTTTAAACATTACCTTTTCCTCATTTGTTGTAGAAGAATCTGGATCCTTTCTTTTCTTCTTCAGTTTTCTATCTTTATTTTGCTTTGTGCTAGAAGTCTGATAAGGCTGCAAATCTACACGAGAATGAAATTGGTATCGGCCACTTTCCACATCACAGTAGTAATAAATTCCAGTAGAAGGATCATAATATAGTTGATTTTCCTTTCAAAACAAGAAAAAGAAAAAAACTAGAAATGCCAAATGCATTCAAACATAGAAATGTTTATTTAACAGTAGTATTTTCAGATTATAAATTAAAGATAAAAAAATTTTATTTTCTATATTGTGCTATTCTACTTTTCCCTGTTTGAAATCTAAATATGCCAGTATTTGAATACTTTTAACATTAGTCAAAATAGCAATTCATATGGTTTAGCTTACTTTAACACATTAACAAATGATAGTATCAAGAAAGCTTTTAAATATATGAAAATAAATATTAACACATGCATCAGAAAAACTACATAGGAAAGCATTCAGGCTACTGACTGCATAGTCATGGTTTGGTAGTATATGGCCTCAAACCTTTGATTTGATAAAGTTAACTTGTAAGTAGCAGGACATAGCATGCTAAAGAGGGATTAACTATTGCCAAGACTTCTTTTTTTGTGGTGCTGGGGAGCCAAACCAGGGCATCTATCTTTGAGCTGTAACTTCAGCCCACTAATAAATTTATTCTACAGTAAAAGAAATATGACAGGAATAAAGAAGCCATGCACAAATGAATTTTAGCAGATTATGGAAAGAAAATTATGTAATCACCTGTTATTATTAGATATTGGCCAATAATCCATAACCAAGATTTAACTGAACATTCTATTACATCATAAATCCATGAAGACTAGATCTGGAAACAGCTTAGGATGTACTGAGATTGAGCAACTAAACTTCCCGAAAAAGAACAACATATTTTTCTAATAATAATACTATTGTAAGTTATCATCTCTAATGTATACATTTTGCAGATTTTTTTGGAGGGAGGGGTTCCAGTTATGATCCTCAGACCTCAGCCTCTGAGTAGCTAGGATTACAGGCTTGAGTTACTGGTGCCTATCTCACATTATTTAGGTTTATTATAAAAATATTTAAGAATTCTCATCATCTTTCCCGTAAATAAAAAACTGACTGGAGCTTTCTAATTTCTAATGATCATGAGACTTCTACCACCGAAAGTTTTAAAATTCACTGCGTCTGTCAACTCAATATAGAAGCATTTTCAAATATAAGAAAAACTACTTAGTGTAAATAAAATCAGCCAGCATAATAAAAGTGGCAAAACATCAAATTCTGAATCCACTTAGATATATATAACTGTTTAAGCTGAGTGCTGGTGACTCACAGCTGTAATCCTACTCAAGAGGCTGAGATCTGAGGATCACGATTCAAAGCCAGTACAGGAAGGAAAGTCCATGAGACTTATCTCAAATTAACAATCAGAGTGCTGAAAATGGAGCTGTGGCTCAAGTAGTACAGCCCTAGCTTTGAGAACAAAAGCTCAGGGACAATTCCTAGGCCAAGTTCAAGCCCGAGGATCAACAAAAAAGAAAAAGAAAAAAGAAATATAACTATAAATGTTAGAAGGAAAGACAAAGAAAGAATGACAAAAAATAATCTCTACTTGGAAACTATTTTCCTGGAAATCAAGTAATAACTTTGGATAAGAGGTTAAGTATGAATTTCTTCCTATTAGTTATCACTGTCAGCATACTTCCATAAGAAAAAAATCACTTATCAATGACTTTACTATTAATGGAGATAAGAGTCTTATGAACTTTCCTGTCTGGGCTGGCTTTAAATCACAATTCTCAGATCTTAGCCTACTGAGTAGGTATTTTTTACAAGTGTGAGCCAGCCACACTGGTTACTACAGCATGGTAAACTTTGTGTTTTGTCAATCATGGAGCTTGAACCCAGGGCCTGGGCACTGTCCCTGAGCTCTCTTAACTTAAAGCTACTGTGAATGGTTAAATGGAAATAAAAGTCTCCCAAGGGACTTTTCTGCCGGGGCTGGCTTTGAACCATAATCCTCAGAACTCAGCTTCCTAAGTAGCTAGGAGTCACCAGATGTGAGCTAACTGCAGTGGGCTAACAGACTAATTTTTAAATTTCTATTATTTTGTGGTGCTAGAAAAGAAGCCTAACGCCTTGTGTATGGAAGACTACCAATCTACATACATTTTTTTTCATTTATTTATTTTAGCCCAAAATAGATTCTTTAAGAAATGCCTGAGCTGGGCACTGGTGGCTCACCCCTGTAATCCTAGCTACTTAGGAGATTGAGATCTGAGGATCGAAGTGCAAAGCCAACCCGGGCAGGAAACTCTGTGAGACTCTGATTTCCAATAAATGACCAGAAAACGGGAAATGGTGCTGTGGCTCAAATGGTGGAGTGCTTGCCTTGAGCATAAGAGCCCAAGGAGAGTGCCCAAGCCCAGAGTTCAAGACCCATGACTGACCAAAAAAAGAAATGCCTGAAAGCCACAAAATATAAAACCTTAATCAATAATGAACACACAGGTGAGAACTCAAGAAAACTTTCCCAGCTGGACATGGGACATGCGCTTATACCTACAGTCTCAGCTATTTTGGAACCTGAAGTGAGAACATAGCTTAAGCCCAGGGGTTTGAGGCCAGGCTGAAAGACAATCTAGATACATGCTATCTTAAAATAAATGGATTGAAATTTTAAAAAGGAAGAAAAGACTCATCTGTGGCCTACAGCAAATTCATAAAGTTAAGCACTTGAAACAATTCTTTAAAAACCTCAACTTTGCTTCCTTATAAATTCTATGATTAAAAATTATTAGTTTTAGGGTCTTAAACATTTACAGTTAATAATCTTTTACTAAAAGATTTATCATTTTAGTCTGTTTCTGTATATGCAAAAGGTTATTAGATCTCTCTAAAATATAAATTTATAATAATTAGAATTAACTTATTTAATTATAACCTAGAAGTATAGCATCATACAACTATTTCACAATTGCTTGGTCAAATAGTTTGAATTAACTGTTTTTTGTTTGTTTTTTGCCATTCCTAGGCTTGTACTCAGGGGCTAGGCATTGTCCCTGAGCTTTTTCAGCTTACAGCTAGCCACAGCTAGCTTGAACCACAGCTCCAACTTTTTGGTGATTAATTGGAGATAAGATTCTCACAGATTTTCCTGCCCAATTTCGCTATGAACTGTGATCTTCAGATTTCAGCCTTCTTAGTAGCTAAGATTACAGGAATGAAGCACCAGCATGTCTTAAAAAAAAAAAGCACTTTCTTGCTTTTTTTTACTTCAGCATAGGATTTTAATGCTTCCTATCAGGCAGCTAAATACATAATTCAGTATTTAAAAGGTCTGAGATACTTACAGAATCGTAATAGAAACCAGTGCTGTGATCAAAATATAGTCCAGTAGTTTCATCATAAGTAAAACCAGTCTGTGATACAGCAGCTTCTGCTGCAGCTCTCAAACTTTCAGCTAGTGATGAACCTTCTAAGGATGTACCATCTCCTTCTGTTGCTAATGCAGATGCTGACTCCTACACAAAAGATAGGCATGTCAAATAAGACAAAATGTTAGCAGCATTTGAAACAATAGTTACATTTTTAAATGGCTTAAATTTCTACAATGCAAAAGATAACTATCAATTATAATTTGAACTAGTCCAAAAAGCCTTAGTTCAACTTTGATTCAATTTTGCTTTTTTTCTTCAGTGATGAGGATTGAATAAAGGGCCTTGCACAAGCTAGGCAAGTGTTTTATCACTGAGATGCATCCCCAATCTTTTGACATTTAAAGACACTAAAGTTAGGGAATAACAATTAATAAAGTTAGGGAATAACAATTAACAAATAAATGATACCATAGAGAAGCATTATAAAATATGAAATGTGATATATTCAATAAGACAAGTTAACCAAGTTGTTCAATAACTATATATTCAATGACTTTTTTGTGGTACTGAAGTTGAACTCAAGCTCACTTGGCTTGCTTGGTACTTCACCTCTTGAGCCATGCCTCCAACCCAGAAATTGTTTGGGAGGAGAAAGTGATAGATAAAAATCCATGTTGCAGGGGCTGGGAAGGTGGCTCAGTGGTAGAGCGCTTGCTTTGAATGCCAGAGGCCCTGGGTTCAATTCCTCAGGACCAAATAAGCAGAAAAAGAAAAAAGCCAGAAGTGGTGCTGTGGCTCAAGTGGTAGAGCGCTAGCCTTGAGCTGAAGAGCTGAAGGACAGTGCCCAGGCCGAGTTCAGGCCCCACGACTGGACTCAAAAAAAAAAAAAAAAAAAATCCATGTTGCACACTGGATAGTGAGTCAAACAAATTCTAAAACTGGAAGTATAAAACATTCAGAAATTTGAACAATAATGGACACTTAACATACAGGAAGCATTAAAATATTTACTTGTTAGGGAAACTGTTTATGCAGCTTTGGGGTACAATGCTTGCCTACCATAAACAAGACCCTGTGTTGAACTCCAGCCCTGCCAAAAAAAGACAAAGGACAATTCCTCAGACATCAAATTCCTTATTACCTGTGAGTTGGAGGTAAAATGATCCTCCTGTCCACATCTGACATTTTCTGTTAAATCAGTACTAGTATAAGCATTTTCTATTTGTGCCTGGTCTTCAGAATTAAGAGAAGGAGCTTCAACATACTGACACTGCTGAACAGAGAGTTCATTCTCTTTATTTGGAAGATTGTCATCATTATAGTAGGTCTGGTAATAATAATCTATAGCAAAAAAAAAAAGATATTAAAAAGAGCAATTAAGCTAAAACTGTCACTGAAAAACATGGGAATCACCACTTTTACAATTATATACATTTTAAACGATTAAAACTGATAGTATAGACAAATCTGCACAAGCGTATACCTTTGATTCTAATGTCTCCTTAAGTACCCCAGTTGTCAAGCTTAAAAGAAAACAGAAGTAAATCTAGATTTTCCACAGCAAAAACTTTTTTAAAAATGAGTAGCTGAATTCAGTTATTGAAGCCTGTGATCTTAACTACTTAAATGGTTAAGATTCCAGGATGACAATTCATTTGACTTGAATTGTCCAGTTCAAGAGACTGGATCTGGATCAACAGCTAGGAATAGTAGCACACACCTGTCATCCCGACTATAGGGAAGCAAGCATAATGGCTACATTGACAAATGTTTGTCATCCTAGCAATTCCAGGAAGCACAAATAGGATCACAGAGCTGGGTAGAAGCATAAAGCAAGACCAAAACTGTATCAAAATAATCAACATAAAAAGGACTGATAGAGTGGTTCAAGTAATAAAATGCCAGTTCAGCAAGTCCAAGGTCCAGAGTTCCAACACGAGTATCCTAAAACAATTTTAAAGGACAGGCTGTGCTTTGTCAAAAAAAAAAAACTTCTAGCCACATACCTTAATATTGTTGTTTACCAACTGACAAATAAAGACAACCCACTGGAATTTGATTTTGCCATCAAAGGTCTCTCATGATGCAGACTTCTTTAAAAATTTAAATTATAGAAATATTTAATGTTAATACTTTGCTATGCTTAGCAATTTGGGTGAGTATGTCCATAATGAAACAAGACAAAATGGTAAAGAATGCATCTTCTTATGGTCTATTAATTAAAAACGCAATAGCTCAGTTATGTTGCCCTACAAAATAATGCACTGATGAGGTCAGTAAGGGGTTCACCATTCACATCAAGACCTAAGAGACTGGCACTGTCCACAAGGCTAAGTAGCACTTATTAACAAGAAAACACATGGCTTGGTCACAATAAAAGCCAGGCACTACAGTGAAGATACCAATGAAAGCACATTAGCAACATTGTAACAATTACAACAATGTCAATTCTTTTCTGCCAATTGTTTTCTGTCAGAAGAATGCAAACTGGTAATCTGAAAATGCCAATTAAGACAGAGAAGTCAATAACTGTCCTCATATACATCTGTATTTTAAATTTAAAGAAAATGCTACATTGGAATGACATGAATATAGTACAGTGTAAGAACAGTATGCACACCTGAACTTGACCAAGGAAGGTGATTCTCTGTTTGTACTTCTACATCAAGCTTTTTGTTATCTTCATTTCTGCCACAATGTAGTATTTTACTGAGTTCTTCCACCTGAAAGAAAACAAAGCTTTAGGAAAAGTATATCAGAAAGAAATCTAATAATACACAATATATTATTCTCATAAATAAGAAAATCGCCAAAAATGGCTTCGTTTTCTTTCTCTTCTCTGCCTCTCTCGCTTTCTTTTTTCTGTGCCAGTCCTGGGACTTGAAATCAGGGCCTGGGTTCTGGCCCTGAGCTTTTGTACTCAATGCTAGTACTCTACCACTTAAGCCACAGTTCCACTTCCTGCTTCTAGTTTCCTTTCAAAAGAACTAAAAATACTTACATTCTTACTTTTCAGGAGAAAAACAATCTCTTTCAGATGGGTTCTCACTGTGTTGCCCAGGCTGTGATCATCCTATTTAAGCCAGATTGCCGATTAATTAGTCTGTCTAGCGGTTAGTCTGTCTAGCTCAGAGATGTTTTAAAACTTTCTTGCTAGACTCCCAATATTTCCTCAAAAAACTGCCTCAAAAAACTGGACTAAAACAGGGTCATAGTGGCTCATGCCTCTAAACCTAGCTACTTAACTCAGAAGGCTGAAATCTGGGAATCATGCTTCAAAGCCAGCCTAAGCCCATGAGATTATCTCCAAATACCACCAAAAGAAGCCAGAAATGGAGCTGTGGCTCAAGTGGTAGAGCACTAGCCTGAACAAAAGAGCTCAGATACAGCTCCCAGACCCTGAGTTGAAGCCCTAAGACTGGCACAAAAACAAATAAAATTTGAACTGAAGTAATGAAACTCTGTGAACATGGTCTTTTCTAATGAACAGAAGCATTTTGGACTGGGAATACAAGTCAGTGGTAGAGCACTGCCTAGTAGGCAAGAGGCATTGAGTTCTACCCCTAACATAATCCTCCCCTCCAAAAGAAGAAAAAGAAAAAAGAATGCTTTATACTAATAAAGATCAGCAGTTCTTAGAAAATTAAAATTGTGGGGCTGGGAAGGTGACTCAGTGGTAGAGTGCTTGCCTTGCATGCATAGGCCCTGGGTTCAATTCCTCAGCATCACACACAGAGAAAAAGCCGGCGGTGGCGCTGTGGCTCAAGTGGTAGAGTGCTAGCCTTGAGTTGAAGAGCTGAGGGACAGTGCCCAGGCCCAGAGTTCAGGCCCATGACCAACAAAAGAAAAGAAAAGAAAATTAAAATAGTAAATTATTGGGCTAGGATGTAACACAGTGGCAAAGTGCTTGCCTAGCAAGTGCAACATTTTGGGTCCTATCCTCAGTACCAAAAAGAAGACAAAAAAAAATTATATTACAATCCCCAGTAAAGGAACTGTGGGCAATCTGTGTTTTTCCTTCTGGAATGAACTATTTGTCTATATACATTAATGCCCTCCTTTTTTTTTTTTTTTTTTGGTAATGGGATAGAACTTATCTGGAGCATACTAGGCAGGCACTCTACCAAGTGAGCTACATCTCCAGCCCTATTAAAGCCATCTATAGGTTTTAATGAACACTTTTTCTTTTGTTCTATGCAAGTAACTATGGCAGAAGGAAACAATTCAAATGACTAGAGGAGTATCTGTCCTCCATATTCCTCTCACACTGACATGTCCTTGAACGGATGCTGCACAGGCCAGAGCAACAGCGTGGACATGCCCCTAAGTAGAGAAAATGCCTAGATCCAGGCACCTCAGTCTGACAGGGTCTATGTATCAGGCAATATGCACTATATGCATGAAAACAGCTAAAAAGCAAGCCTCTAAATATTTCCTTAGTGGTACATACATATGCTCAAACTGAGAAAGTGGCAAGACTCATTACATACTTGATGATCAGATTTATTCCTACTACCAGGCCTAGGGAAAGCAAGTTCCCGAAGATGAAATTTTCAAAGAGGTTCTCCCAAATGCATGGAAGTACAGGATCCTTATCCGAGTTGGTGCCTCCTTAAGTTCCTTACCTAGGAGATGGACTGCCTTGGCCTATTCTAGGCTCTATCATTACTATAAACCGGATTATTTAGTATCTACTTCATACTCGACATAAAACCAGTGCTTTGGCTAACACCTCCTTAATTCACACAAAGAGGTACACATTTACACTTCTCGTTTGTGGTCTTGACTCTAACAAATTGTACATGATGTAGAATACATTACAAATTCTGTACAGCCAAAGGGACGCTGACACAGGTGACAATGAAGATAACGTAATCCAAGTTACTGAAGGCAACTTCACTGCAGCCACGAGACACGCGTGTACCCCAAGGATCCAGAACGCATCATTTTGCTGCACATAATCTTAAGGTCGTGAACTACTGTGAGACTCGGAGGTGAGGGGGCGCACCTGCGTGCGGAGCTCATGGTTGCTGCTCTCGGCGCTCTGGTACAGCCGCTCCGTGTGGTGCAGCAGCCTCTCGATCTCCCGCACCTGCCGCTTGCAGCTCCGTAGCTCGCGTTCCAATTTCTCCACCTTCCGCCGCAACTGGGCCAGTTCGGGCTCGGGGGAGGCGGGCGGCGACGGCGAGGGCGGCGGCGGCGGGGACGGGTCCTCGGAGGCCATGAAGACCGCACGAGGCGGCCCGCGGGCGCGGGGAGGGTGGGTTCAGACCGCGAGCGGCGCCGGCGGGCGCAGAGGCCACCGGAGTGCGCGGGCTGCGAACGGCGGCCTCACCCCCGCCAGGCCGCGGCGGCCCCGGGCCATGGCGCCCCGAGTCTCGTCGCCTGTAGCGGAACGGGGCTGTGGGGCACACACAAAGGGACTGAGCGCGACCCCCTGCTCGGTGCGAACGGCCTAGCGAGCAGCACGTTGTAGGGACAACTGCCTTCTTTCCCGGGTGACCGATTTAACGAGAGGAAGGCTGGTCAGGGGACCCGAAGAGCGCCTGGACGGTTCCCGTACTGAACCGGAAGTGAAGTGCCGGGGTGGGTGGGGCCAAGACGGAAAGCAAACTACGAGAAGCGAGAAGGGCCCGCTTTTGCGCCTGCGCACCTTCTGCCTGCTGTAGGCCGGGCGGTGATTATAGAGATCTGGGGCTACTGGGGCCGTGGAGTGGTTCAAGTCTTACTATCTCAGGCATTTGCTCTGGCTGAGTTTCATGAAAAAGCTTTTCGGAAGCCGGGTATCCTCAGGAGGCTGAGACCTCCAGCCTGGGCAAGTTCTATGGACTCTGTAACAATCAGCAAAAAGCCACAAGTGGAGCACTTATGCCCTACGGAGAGCGAGACCGTCCGTCGAGGCACAGACAGCGAAAGGTGGACTAAAGAAGTTTATTTACACCAGAAAGGGGTCTTGAGACTATCTATACCCAGAACCGAGAGCAGCCTCGACCACCAAACCTCCAGGCCACTCAACAGGCAGCCTCGACCCCCGACCTGTTAGTTGGTCTGCAAACCTCAGACCTCCGAAGCTCCGAGGGGAAGGCTTTTCCCTGTCTCCTCCTCCACCGCTCTCCACAGGCCACAGGCCTGCCCTGCCCCGGAGGCGCCTCTCCGCAGGCCTCTCCAGAGGAAGGCCCCGAATGGCCTCCCGAGGCGTGCCCTGCACTCACAGGCCTGCCCTGCTCCGGCAGGCTTTTCCCTCCTGCCGTCGCCTCCACTCCAGCTCCTCCCCTGCAGTCACTAACTCGGCCCTAACCTCCCCTCTCCTCAGGACCCCGGTCTCCTCCGCACTCCCCTCTCCTCAGGACCCCCCAGTCTCCTCCGGACTGTTCTCCTCAGGACCCCGGTCTCCTCCGCACTCCCCTCTCCTCAGGACCCCCGGTCTCCTCCGCACTCCCCTCGCCTCAGGACCCCCGGTCTCCTCCGCACTCCCCTCGCCTCAGGACCCCGGTCTCCTCCGCACTCCCCTCTCCTCAGGACCCCCAGTCTCCTCCGGACTGTTCTCCTCAGGACCCCGGTCTCCTCCGCACTCCCCTCTCCTCCAACCCCGGTCTCCTCCGCATTCCCCTCGCCTCCGGACCCTGGTCTCCTCCGCACTCCCCTCTCCTCTGACCCCGGTCTCCTCCAGACTCCCCTCGCCTCAGGACCCCCGGTCTCCTCCGCACTCCCCTCTCCTCAGGACCCCCGGTCTCCTCCGGACTGTTCTCCTCAGGACCCCCGTCTCCTCCGCACTCCCCTCTCCTCAGGACCCCCGGTCTCCTCTGGACTCCCCTCTCCTCAGGACCCCCGGTCTCCTCCGGACTGTTCTCCTCAGGACCCCGGTCTCCTCCGGACTCCCCTCTCCTCAGGACCCCCAGTCTCCTCCGGACTGTTCTCCTCAGGACCCCCGGTCTCCTCCGCACTCCCCTCTCCTCAGGACCCCCGTCTCCTCCGCACTCCCCTCTCCTCCGACCCCGGTCTCCTCCGCACTCCCCTCTCCTCAGGACCCCGGTCTCCTCCGCACTCCCCTCTCCTCAGGACCCCCGGTCTCCTCCGCACTCCCCTCTCCTCAGGACCCCCGTCTCTCCGCACTCCCCTCTCCTCAGGACCCCCGGTCTCCTCCGCACTCCCCTCTCCTCAGGACCCCGGTCTCCTCCGCACTCCCCTCTCCTCAGGACCCCCCAGTCTCCTCCGGACTGTTCTCCTCAGGACCCCGGTCTCCTCCGCACTCCCCTCTCCTCAGGACCCCCCAGTCTCCTCCGGACTGTTCTCCTCAGGACCCCCGTCTCCTCCGCACTCCCCTCTCCTCAGGACCCCCCAGTCTCCTCCGGACTGTTCTCCTCAGGACCCCCGTCTCCTCCGCACTCCCCTCTCCTCTGACCCCGGTCTCCTCCAGACTCCCCTCTCCTCAGGACCCCGGTCTCCTCCGCACTCCCCTCTCCTCCGACCCCGGTCTCCTCCAGACTCCCCTCTCCTCAGGACCCTCGGTCTCCTCCGGACTCCCCTCGCCTCAGGACCCCGGTTTTTCTCCTGCTCCCCCTAACGCCCCTAACCGCTCCTCCGGCCTCTGGTTTTTCCCCTACTCCCTTTAACCTCTCAGGCCACTGGTTTTTTTTCTCCTACTCCCCCCAGGCGTAGGAGCATGCACGCAGCCTATATATACCCAGCTAGGCTAAGTCCCTCCCTCACTAACGGTTTCAAACCACCATTCAAGCTCCTCCCCCAAGTTGCCCCCTCTCCAATCCCAATTGGCAGCTCACCGTGTGGGACTCAACGCCCCACCCCTCCAGTGGCATGCCCCGCCCCCTTTCTGCGGCATGGCGCGCCCCTTGGCGGCGCCCCGTGGGGCTGTGACGTCAGCCTCTCAAAGCCCTGTGCTCTGTCCGGTGGCCTGGTCTGTGGAGGGATGAGGCTCGCCTTTTGATGCCCCGCCCCCTCCAGCAGGGCGGCCACGGGGCCACACTGACTATTGAGCCCCAGCTGATTATCCGGGCCCCACGGGTTATTTCAGAGCTCTGGTTCAAATGATAGATCACAACTAGCCTTGGGCAAAAAAGTTTGAGAACAGTGCCCAGGCCCAGAGTTCAAGCCCAGGACTGGCAAAGAGGCAGGAAGAACCGAAGGAGGGAAAGACAAGAAAGAGTGAGCTTTTGAGATCGAGTGCAGTTCCTAGCGCCTTGTTTTTCACATGTTGGAAACCCAAAACCCTCCAGTACTGGAAAATGAAATGACACCCAAGATGGACAAGAGTGATCAAAGCATTTTACTTCTTCACCGAAGGGTGGTTTGCCACTCTACCCAGAGCTAGGTAGGCACACTGGACCAGGTGGTCTACTTGGTATTAGCCTAACCCAAAGGGGAATGTTGACCCTTCTCTTTGTTGGTAAGGAGTCAGGCTCACAGGTTATTTACAATGGTCACCAAGGTGATGAGGCAATACAAAGAAGAAAGTACTCTCTAACAGTCAACAGAAAGGTCTCTCGGTAAAGGAGCTGTCCTTTTGGAAACAAAGGTACACACTTCTCACAGCTGGCTGGGAATGAAACATCTGATGGTTAGTTGGAGGAGGTTGGTAAAGTCAGTGGAAAGCACACAATCTATATATCTTCAACTCTACTGATCAGAATACATACCTTTGAAAGGCTGGCTGGTTACAAGCAACACAGATGCAGATGATAGTTTCAATTGAAATAAAAAGGTAAATCTAGGAAACATCAGTACCAGGAAATATCAATACAGAATGGAGACATTTTCATTTGACAGAAAAGATTGCTTTCTACACACACACACACACACACACACACACTAGTCTCCCAGAAATACTTTTCCCATAACTATACAAATAGTAAATCAGGACTAAAATTTAGTGTTTTGATACTATTTTCTTGATCTATTGATTCCATAAGCTTAGCTCTCTATACCATACACCCTAAAACCCTCTGAAAAAGAGACTAGGTTCATTAAAGCCTGCATTGCTTTTTAGGAAACTAAAAGTAGCACTTTCTGGACCAGAGAGAAAAATAACTCTAGTTGGGTGTGTTGATTTGATCTTTAGACTTCATGAATCCTAGCATTTGTTCACCTGTCTTTAAGCCTATGATGAGTTTTCCCCACACACTTCCTTCCCCAAGAAGGAAGGTCCTAGCTTAGAATGCTGGGCCTGAGATTCCAAGAGATCAGTCCTGTCACCCTGATTCCCATCCCTTGGGGCCCAGCTCAGTGCCTGTTATAACAGGCAGAGGTAAATAGTTGCTGAACACAGTTCAACATTAGAACTCTTGTTTAATGTCCTAATTCAGAGATATTCTTTATTAACCATTTCTTCACATCCTTTTACTCCCTCACCCCTCTGTACTTGTACCAGGGCTTGAACTCAGGGTCTAGTGCTCTGCCTCGACTTTTTTACTCTACCACTTGAGCCACACCTCCAGTGTGACATATTGCTAGTTGATTCAAAATGACGTTTTGCTACTCATTTAGAACAGAGATCTTCAGTGTTTCAGTCTCCTGCATAGCCAGGATTACAGTCATGGGCCATTGGTGCTATTTTTATTACTCTATTAACTATATTTTCTTTCTTTCCATACTCAGAATGCTCTGACAGATGAGGCCTCTGACTAGGGAAGGGCTGCCTCTTCAAGGATTTGATCATTCTGGTCATATCAAATAATTCACTACACAACATATTTTTCACATGCAAACTATTCAACTGGGAGCCTCTCCTCTCCCTCCTTTACCAGGCTGTTTACACTCTAAGCAATATTCTCCAGCCTCATCACCCCAAAGCTAAGTGCTAAATGACCCTTATATCTTAAAGCTGCCTGAAATTATCCAAATTGATCCTGAGTCTGCTTGCCTGGACCATTCTACAGAAACCAAAAGGAGATCTTTTAACACAATTCCTCTCTATCTGCCTCCTAAGGATGTTGGTACTTTTCCATATGTATGTAGCGATGTGGTGACATGTATTTTCTAGTGTGTAGCATTGTGTGTGTCCTCTCTGGGGCTCCTTGATAGCAAATTGATCTTTTCCACAGCAGTTATCTTTTGACCTGCTGTCACTCTATGGTGAGGCAACTAGAGCTTTTCTACAGGTTCTGCGTGTTAAGGGGGGTGAGTAGCAGTTTTTGCCACACCTAGTTTTCAAAACCAAGAGGTAATTAGTACTTTAGGCAGGATTCCTGCCCAAGAGAAGCATACCATTTAACACCCAGAGTTGATTTTATTTTGAAATGTGTTTCCCACATATATGTTGTTCTTTGGGCTCTTGTGAATGTAATGACATTTTCTTTTCATTGCTGTTTAAGGCTTTTTGATTTATACAGGTTTTCATACATTTGTTGAAATATGTTGAAAGGGTGACTTTCCCTTCAAAAAATTGTCTATCCATATCTTTTTGCACACTTATGTGTTTGTCTGTGTCCTGGTGCTAGGGCTTGAACTCGGTGCCTGGGTGCTGTCCTTTAGCTTTTCACTCAAGGCTAGTGCTCTACTACTTGAAACACCTGCACTTTTGGCTTTTTTGTCCAT